AGATAACTCGGCCATCCCAGGCAGGTTAATAAATGCATAAATAAACTGTTTAATAAATAAAGATAGCGTTCGTACAAATATGAGTATCCTCCAAAAATAACGTTTAAAGTTATCGCTGATATCCACTGAATGGTGTAAGGAAAGTTCCGTTTCCCAAATTCTAGAGTCGGGTTGCTGAAAGTACCATCAATCAGCTAAGTAACAAATTTTAGTCACATTAATTACACATTAATCACACACACAAATATATATATATATATATATATATATATATATATATATATATATATAATTTTCGTCTGTTACGGTGACTTGCTAGTCAGGCACATTTATATTTGTTCAACAGATACCTGTGGTTTATAGTGTAACTAAACTGAGTGGAAGTTGATTACAGTCTCTGGGGGAGGGGGCACCAGCTGGCGTGATCAAGAGCTATTTGAATAAGCCGAGTAAGTGCAAGCCATCGGTCAGGCATGGAAATTATTTTGTTTTTAGTCAAATCCAGGTAGCATCAGAGACGAAAAATTTTACTAAAAACAAAATAATTTACATGCCTGAGGATGACTGAATGTACAGTTGAAAGTACCTTTATAGCTGTTTGCATTGCTGGTATTTTTTTTTTATAAGTATTGCTGATAATAATTTTCCCTTCAAAAATTATTGCTGGTAAAAAAGTTTTTATTACAAAGTATTTCTGGTATTAAAACCTATCTTTACACAAGTTTGGGTGTTGATTATTTGCCCATAGCTGGGACCCTAACAGGTGCTACCACCCCGGGTCAGGGTGGACCTGGGAACACCAGCAATTAAGAGGTGGTTCCACAATCCTCAAGACCTCCTGATCAGAGGCCTTGTTGTTGGACGTAGTTTATCGTCTTACCCAGGGCGCGGATGTAGTTTATCTTCATACCCAGGACGAGGATAGTTAAGGGATGTAAACTTTAGTAAGTAATGTTGTTGATATTTTTCAAAGTAATGTAATTATCCTTTATATTATTTAAAGAATAAAAGAAGAAAAAAGAATCTGTACCTTTGACTTTTTCACCTGATCTCCTCAAACCGATTAGCTAAATCGGGTTGAGGCCCTGTACAAGTGTGTCTCCTGTTCAGCCGGGTATGAGGAGAGAACTGTGGAAGAGCAATCCTGGCACCCCCTGCACTTTGACCATAATGATTCGACATGGACATTGCGTCATATTCATTCTGAAGTAAATGGATTTATAAATCGAAAGCCAGTGGGAATCAAATGTGATTACTGAAGTGGATAGTGAAGAGCGTGACAGATAGATAGATAGATAGATAGATAGATAGATAGATAGATAGATAGATAGATATGATCAGACTGAAATAGATAGATAGATAGAGAGATAGATAGATATGAACAGACTGAGATAGATAGATATGAACAGACTGAGATAGATAGATAGATGTGATCAGACTGAAATAGATAGATAGATAGATAGATATGATCAGACTGAAATAGATAGATAGATAGATAGATAGATAGATAGATAGATAGATAGATAGATAGATGCGTCATCGATTCAATGAAAAATATCGATTCACATTTCAGATTCCAATAAATGCTCACTGAACACATCACTTTTAATCAAATCAGCGTTCATCCCGCTGTTAAGAATCCATTAGACTGCAGTGATATCCCCCCCGCCGAAATCATTTCAAATCGGGACAGCATCCAACATTTTAAATAGTATACCGGCCTCATGAAATGCTTCATTTTACTCTGTTCTTACCTCCAACGGGACAATATTGTTCAGAGGCTTAACAGAGTGCCTTTCGAACATTAATTGCAAGCCTTTGTTTCGCATTGATGCCACCTGTTTGCCTCCGGATTTCCAATTCAATTAATGTCACGCTAACCGACAATTTAAGGCAATTAACACTCATACGTTTTGAACCATTGCTCATTAGATGTTTGATATACCTTGGTTTAACATGTTCACCTTGTCTGTATCCCAATCTCCTGAAAAAGGCCGAAGCGTACAACGGCCGAAACTTTGTGAATATGGCAAGGAAGATGAGGATAACAGACCGATTAATGTAAATAATGCATCATAACACCTCATCTCAGAGATTCCATCACCTGAAGAAGGCCGGAGCTTACAACGACCGAAACGTTGTTAATATGGCAATGAAGATGAGGATAACAGTCAGAATAATGCAAATATTGCAAGTAATCATAATACCTCATCTCAGTGATCCAATCACCTGAAGAAGGGCGGAGCGTACAACGGCTGAAACGTTGTGAATATGGCAGTGAAGATGAGGATAACGGTCCGAATAATGTAAATAATGTAAATGATATTCACCCTGTACAAGGCCCAAGAGCCACTCGAGGTAGAGTTTATGGGAATGTGAAGAAGATAAAGGTTAACGTTAGACTTGAAGAAGTTAAGATTGTTGTGATGGGGAAGTATCCCCTTGGGAGTCTGTAGCACAAGACAGTGGATCATCGGAAGAAGCTGCTCGAGTGAAACTTACTTCTCACTGCTGAAATACAAATGGAATGAGTGTGGCCTGTTACAATAGGCGTGGTATAACACGTCTTAGCCATAAAGGTTTCTCAAATTACATGTATATTTGTACAGAAGTAATGGTTTATTTAACTTATTAATTCGACAGATTTTATTACTTTAAACCTTATTTTTAGAGGACGCTCATATTTGGTTAGATGCTTCTTTTTTCGTTTATTAAACGGCATATTTATTTATTTTCGTTTACCGACCTGAATATTTGAGAAATCTTATTAAAGAAAATATGCGATCTCCAGTGGGATTCGAACCTGCGTCGAGTGAAAAAAAAAAAAAGATTTAAATGATGAAATATATATGCAGTGTGATTGAAAATTATGTCCCCATTTGATTGAATGTTGACTCTCTCAAAATCCTAAACAGGATTGATGTAATTACTAGAAATAAAGAAATAGTCTTCTGCTGGGTATCCAGTCATATTGGCATAAAGGGGAATCCCAGAGCTGATCAGGCAGCAAAAAAAGCACTAGAACTGGAACTCTAAAAAAGATAAAATTCCATTCACAGACCTAATAGCAACAATTAACAAACATCCAATGAACAAATGGCAAGAATCATGGAATTCTTACACCAATAACAAATTACATGCAATAAAGGAACAAATTGGAGAAATAAATGACTACAGTGAAATGACTAGAAAAGAACAAGTAACATTATCAAGACTCCGTATGGGCCACTCGATCATCAGCCATTCTTACCTCCTTAAGAAGGAGACAGCTCCAATCTGTATAGCAGGAGGCTTATACAATATGTCACATTTTGACAAATTGTTTAGACTTGAAGCAAACTCGCCGAAGGTACTACAAAGAAACAAACCTGAAAAAAATATTCCTCCAAGTAAAACCTTAAAAAATACTTGAATATATAAGTGTTGTGTAGGAACCTACCACCCCTCTTGAAGATGAACTCGCCTACAAACAAGGACGTTAACTAGTGGCATGTCAAAAGACAGTGTCGGAGAAGTTCTTGAGCTGAGTTAGTTATAGACTACTCAGGCGATAATCTGTACCAACTTACCAACCGAATAAACCCCATTTTATTGTTACATGTTATTTGGCGTTTGTCTTTATTAACCCCAAATTAACATCATAACAATAAGAGAAATTGTTCTCTATAGCAAAATCTAGAAAAGATTGAAATAAACACAAATATATCAAGATATATACCTCCATGAAACTACTTACTTCAAGATGCCTACTCAAACCAAGAAACACATTTAACTTAAGATTCTTTTAAAGTCACTCAAAATCATTTTCGGCATAAAGTGATCACTAAGGTTGGAATACCGTTAAACAAAGCAACCAAACCAACTAGACTCTCCCATCTCGTAAAAATTATAGTTAAACGGGAGAGTCTATTGTTAGAAAAGGGCACTTTGACGTGGCGTATTGCTTCGGTAGAACATTTACAACTGAGTAGTGAGTTCGATCCACGCCTGATGCTCCACAATTTTGGCCTTTTGCCACATCTAAGCTATACCACAATTGCTGTATTTTCGAGCAATAAATCTCGAGTGTATGGTTATATTTGTTTCCATAAAGAATTATTTACATTATTCAGACTATTGTTCTCATCTTTTCCGCCATATTTATTACAACGTTTCGGCCGTTGTACGCTACGGCCTTCTTTAGGTGGTTGGAATGTCGAACTGAGCCCTTTATTTCGCTCACTGGGGTAGACTGTTCTAGTTCTACGTGCCATGTTTAATGGATGTCAGTTATCAGTTATCTCCAGGAAATTACTCTTTACAAGTTCTCCACCACCTTTACCAGGTATTGGAGAGGGGAATTAACTGATAACTAACATCCATTAGACATGGCACGTGGAACTAGAACAGTCTACCCCAGTGAGCGAAATAAAGTGTTCAGTTCGACATTCCAAACACCTGAAGAAGGCCGGAGCGTACAACGACCGAAACGTTGTAATAAATATGGCGGAAAAGATGAGGACAATAATCCGAATAATGTAAATAGTATACATAATACCTCATTTCAGAAATATAGACAGATATCAAAAAGAATTATCGAAGAAAGAATTATGTTCTTCGGAAATACATCGAGGGAGTTCTGGTAAATATTTTACCTTCAACGAATACAAGCCAAACACACTTTATTGTATCTAAAACTTTTATAAAATCCAGACATAAAAAGTCGAGCACCTGTCTCTCAAGTAAAACCGGTGTAACCTAATTTTTTTCTCACCACACAAAACGTCCTGCAATCAATATGCGCATCAGCACACGAATTACGCGCTTGAAGTGGGTACACATGCAAACACAATACACACAAACACAGAAACGAATATGAATAATATTTCCACATCGACAAACTGGAATTATCATACACAATGAAAAACATCGAATTTTATTTTTCTCCTCTGTTTCAATCTCCGATGAAGAATTGATAAAAGCGACACCTGTTAGGTTTATATACGTTTCCAATTTGTTCATTATCGTTCCATAGATAGATCGATATGAACAGACTGAGATAGATAAATAGATAGCTATTCATTTGACCAGACTGCGATAAATAGATATTCATTAAAGACATTTTTATGTATAACATTCTTTTTACAGATACAAGTAAATGCTCTGTTTATAATAAACAGTATTAAATAACATTTACCGGCCTGAATGTCCGAGAAATTTTCATAGAAAATATTTGTCCTTTGACAGGATTTGAACCTGTATCCTATACGGAACCGTCATTTACGCTGACGTGCCTTAACCGACTCGGCCACAACTTAAATACTTAAATACTTGTATCTATAAAAGAATGTTAAACATAAAAATGTCTTTAATAAATTGTCGGACTTTGTCCAATTCTTAATGTATAGATATTCATATGACCAGACTGCGATAGATAGATAGATAGATAGATAGATAGATAGATAGATAGATAGATAGATATTCATATGACCAGACTGCGATAGATAGATAGATAGATACATAGATAGATAGATATTCATATGGACAGACTGCGATAGATAGATATTCATATGACCAGACTGCGATAGATAGATAGATAGATAGATAGATAGATAGATAGATAGATAGATAGATAGATAGATATCACCAGACTGAGATAGATAGATAGATAGATAGATAGATAGATAGATAGATAGATAGAAATTCATATGACCAGACTGCGATAGATAGATAGATAGATAGATAGATAGATAGATAGATAGATAGATATGAACAGGCTTTCTCCAAGGTCTGTCTCACCGTCTTGATTCTGGCAATGATGTCCTGATGGTTGTGGTGAAGTTGAGGCCATTATTTAATACTGACTTTTCAGAAGCACTAAGCTGATATTGGCTGAAGTGGATTAATGCTTTCACTGGTGTGTCATTGTGCGTCACCTTCTAATCTTTCAATCTATTAAATTTTTATATTTGCTGAGACTTCATTATATCAAATTTATGTCTGAAGGATTTCTCCAGGTCATTTTGGATCCTTTTTCGGTCATCTTCATTGATAATTCTGCTAAAGAAATCCTCAAACCTCCATGACATATGAGCTTGAATCTGTTTCATCCAACGATTCTACTGGTTTCACTCTCGGACAAGGGCTTATCCCGCTTTTTCTGCGACCAAACGGGCTCTCCTTGAATTGACGTGAATTCTTGGTGCTAAGTCTGAAGGAATGAGTTATAGATCTCTGCATCGGTGTAGGAATGTCAGATGGTTCGGTATTCGTGCCAGTTTCTGGTAGGATTTTTCAATTTGTCTCCATATTTTCGGTGTATCGGATCCGTACCGATTCTTCAGTATCTGTCTATATTTATGAGATGAGGTATTGTGTACACTATTTACATTATTCGGACTATTGTTCTCGTCTTTGTCACCATATTTATCACAAAGTTTCGGCCCTTCAGTATCTGTCTATATTTCTGAGATGAGGTATTATGTACATTATTTACATTATTCGGACTATTGTCCTCATCTTTGTTGCCATATTTATTACAACGTTTCAGCCCTTCAGTATCTGTCTATATTTCTGAAATTAGGTATTATGTACACTATTTACATTATTCGGTCTATTGTCCTCATCTTTGTTGCCATTTTTATCATACATAACGTTTCGGCCGTTGTACACTCCGGCCTTCCTCAGGTGGTTGGAATGTCGAACTGAACCCTTTATTTCGCTCGCTGGGGTAGACTGTTCAATATGACGAAAATACACCAGCGTGTAGAAGCATGAGTGGGTCGAGTAGGTTTAAAAGTTGCCAGACAAGCTTTACGTGCGGAGAAGGAGCAGGACGCCCTTCAAACTGCACCACTGACGAGATGGTTCGGCCAGCTTGAGAAATGGTAACTGCGAAACGGTGAGTTATTTTCGATAAGTTAGTATGGTCGATGCAGATTCGGATCATTGAGTTCCTCACAGACAAACAAGAATTGTGATTCACTCCCATACATAAAGCAATATTTACGGTTTTTCAGTTACGGCTGAAATCCATTCATTCGTTGGAACTTTGAATTGACGCGTCGTCTCTTCTTGAATTCGGAATGCCACGAATTATACTAACGTTGCTTTAACAAGTCGAATGCATAAGAAACCTGATTAATCAATAAAACTCCAACACATAAATAAAAATAACAGAATTTCTTTCATCTTTTTCTCTGTTATTGCGTTGACAGAAATTGCAAAGTGAAGCGGTTGCATAGATTTTGTCACTTGAGATGAAATTCAGATGATTTTATAATTTGAACAAAGGGACGCGTCGTCTTTTTCTTGAATTCGGTACGCCATAAATTATACTAATGTTTGTTTAACAAGTCAAATGCACGTGAAACCTGATTAACCACTGTAACTGAATCAACCCAAAAATAAGCATAATAGAATTTCTTTCTTCTTTTTCTTGATATCTCATTCTCAGATGAAGCTTTAATAAAAGTGAAACATGTTAGATTGATAAACGTTTCCTATTTTTTCTTTGTCTTATCATTCTGTCGGATTCCAATCCGTATTTGATCCCAATTCATTTATTTATATCGAGAATTAAGAGCAACTTAGATTGGAAAAGGAATGAAAAATCCCTGGGGGCTGAAAAAAAAAAACTTTCCCGAAAAGGGGAAACAAGACCTGATAAGTATAGTCGAAGTATACTTTAAAAGTAATCGGAAATCTAATCCCAAGTAGTAAGCAAGGGATAAGTCACTACTCCTCTTCAAAAGGCCAGAGATGAGTGTGAACCGGGCGAGAGATGAAACTGTCTACTCCTTTTGTGGAATAAATAAATAGTAAACATTACACTTTTAATCAAATATATCTTTAACCATTCATCATTTCCCAAATGTGTCTCTATTATTGCCGTGATATGGACATTACAAAGTGAATCGATTGCATAGATTTTGTCAATTGAGATTAAATTCAGTTGGTTTTATAATCTTAACAAGGAGACACGTCGTCTCGGTAGGCCATAAATTATATTAATATTTGTTCAACAAGTCAAATGCACGTAAAACCTACTTTACCAATGTAAATCAATCAACACAAAAATAAACATAATAGAATTTCTTTTCCTTCATATCACATTTTCTGATGAAGCTTTAATAAAAGTGAGATATGTTAGGTTTAATAAACGTTTCCTATTTGTTCTTTGTCTTATTAATCTGTTGGATTAAGATCCATATTTGATCCCAATCCATCCTTACAATTGTATTTTGTTGAATTTGCTAAGCTCAAATGTTTAAAAATACAACAGCGTGTTTTCCATGAGTATTTTTTAGTCGTAGAATTCTCAAAAATCTTATTCATTAAATTAAGGATTATATTTCTTCAGAAAAATCAAATAAGAAAACCGACGAAACCTACACTATTTACATTATTCGGACTATTGTCCTCATCTTTGTCGCTATATTTATTACAACGTTTCGACCGTTGTACGCTCCGGACTTCCTCAGGTGGTTGGAATGTCGAACTGAACCCTTTATTTCACTCACTGGGGTAGACTGTTCTAGTTCTACGTGCCATGTTTAATGGATGTCAGTTATCAGTTATCTCCTGTTAATTCCCCTCTGAAAGTTCTCCACTGCCTTAACCATGTATTGAACTCACACTCTTTGGGTCCTGTCACGGGATCTAACCAACGCCTTTATCCATTGTGCCATGTGTCCTCATGGGCACATGGCACAGTGGATAAAGGCGTTGGTTAGCGTTATGCAATGAAAATGATAAAAAAAGGCATAGTTATTGGAACTGATAGTCCCTTGGGAAGACAATATGGAACAGGAAGTGCGAAGAAAATTTGAGAGATATGAAGACCTGATAGACAAATGTAAAGAATGCGGATGGAAGTTTGAATTCTACCATCTAGCTGTGGGACGCCGTGATTTTGTCGGAAAAGATGTTGCCAATATGCTCAGAAGACGATTTGGCTCCAACAATAAGAAATTAAAAAGCGAGGTATCAGAGATTCGGGAGACAGCGGAAAGAAGAATCGCTCATCATCTTCTTAAAGCGTGATGGTGATGGTTGCAGACCATTTAGCATCCAATAAAAACCTCCACAATGGAGGAGCCTCGCAATGCAGTAGAGGAAAAGGGATCGAAACTTGTTGCTATGGTTCCTCCTGATGACTGATTTGGGATTCAATTTAGAAATGGAGCTGCGAACTGGTTAACAAGACCTTCCTTATTTTTCATATATTTTTAGATTGTTAGAAGTTTTTAGATATAATAATGATTTATTGATACACGTTTTACTAATTAACCCATAGCTGTGGGGGGAGATGGGATTCCATTGATATTTGCGTGTAAGTGAATATGACGAACCCTAGTGGAACTGGAAGCAACGTTCTGATTTGCAATTTAAATCAGTTATACATTACACTAGCCACACATCCAAGTTTACATCATCTGGTATCGCCAAGAGGTTTCACGAGGTGGGATGCAACTGATATTCTTCATTTGATTGAATATACTTGACCTTGTTTATTTTCCCCTTCAATGGTATTTCGCGTGTTAATTAATTTCAAACCTGAATCCTCCACCTTGATGATAATTGTTATAGAAATTCTAACATGAAACCTACATAGTCATTATTATTTTGCTCTATTTGATTTATATATTAGGATGGTGCAAAAATAATGACGTAATAATGTCGTTTTTAACGTATTTTTTAACGTTAAAAAACGACATTATTTTTGCACCAACCTAATATTTACTACTGTACTGTACTGATGCGGCATTCACCCTGGGCGGATTGAGTCGGCTTCTTCCTGTTATGAGAAGAAGATTCTTGGGATAAATTACAGAAGTAGGGTACCCAGTCCTACTCGGATAACGTTCTTGCTTGCCGCGGGGTCCCCACAGACGCAGAGACAGGAAAGACCAGAAGCCGCCGGTTACCTATGCAGACGCTCCTTGGATTTTCACCAGAGACCTTGTTAGCCGGCGTGTGTGTCAGACCTGTCCGCCTTGGGTGACCCTACCAGGAACGAAGTTCCGGGCGGCATAGCTCTGACACTACCGTTTACACCCCCCACCGACTGTGAGGTAAGGGTTGGACTTTGGGGGCTTACAGTACCAGGTGTTCCCAAGCGGTCCCCCATGCTTACGGTCAAATCACGCTGAAAACACCGGTTCTCGTTCGATCACCGAAGTTAAGCATCGTAGAGCCAGGTCAGTAACCTAATATTTAGTCTAATGGAATGAATGTATGGGTTTCATGTTAGAACTTCTATAATAATTATCATCAAGAACATATTTATTAAGTCTTATAGGGTGGACTCTCCCGTCATATTCGACGTATGAAGGGGAAGCAGCTCATTTCCTAGGAACCGACAGGGGGTGCTGGTATACAGGGGGTGCGGGTATACAGTGGATACCGTTATACTTAGGCTTGGTATTGTGTAATGACTCTAGTGTGGAATACACAATTACTTTCAACTGTTTCCGATTTAAAACGTTTTTGTTCTTTAGGTCCGGTTACATTAAGAAGGTGTTTGAGTTTCAAATGTATTCGTTTGGGATCGAACTCACTGTAGGTAGCTTTGAATAACAGCACTTATGCCAGATCACGCCAACAAACGCCAATTTGAGACAATTCACAAGTTCTAATCATCTCTCCCCCCTCTCTCTCTCTCTCTTTCTTTCTTTCTCTCTCTCTCTCTCTCTCTCTCTGCACATATCATTGTCTCTATTACGGTTATTTTTCTCATGCTAGCATATAACTGTAGGTGTCAGTATGTCAGGCCATCTGTCGGAAGTCCGCCACCCACAATTTCGCCTAGAAGTACACGTAGACAGATACGTATTAACGAACAGACATTTAAAAATAAAAAATGAAAAAAAGTTTCATAAAATATACCGTGAAATTTTCCCCTTGCAAGAGAGACACATAGTTTTCTTCGCTTTGTACTAACACTCCCACGCGAATGGAGTTTATTAATTCATCAAATAGAATCATCATCGTCGTCGTCATCATCACCTCTCCTTTTCTCACTCTCTCATTCTCTCATTTTGTTTCTTTTTTCCCACCTTTTCTTTCTATTTTGATTCTCTTTGTCATGTTTTCTCTCTCTCTCTCTTACTCGTCTTTTTAATACTTTCTTTTTCCCTAAACTCTTCTCCCTCTCTCTCTCTTTCTTTCTCTCTCTATCTTTTTTACTCACTTTCTCTTTCTCCCACTCTTTCTTTCTTACTCGTAATTTCAATTATTACCTTTTTCCTAAACTCTTTCTCTCACTCTATCTTTTTATCTCTCACTTTCTCTTTCTCTCTGTCTTTCTCTCTCTCATTTTCTATTTCTCTCTCTTTCTTCTCCTCTCTCTCTTACTAGTCCTTTCAATCCTCTTCTCCCCTAAACTCTTACCCCTCTCTCTCTTTCTCTCTCTCTCTCTGTTTTTTCTCTCTCTCTCTTTCTCTCTCTCTCTTACTCGTCCTTTCATTCCTTTCTTTTTTCCCGAAACTCTTCTCCCTCTCTCTCTCTTCTCTCTCTCTCTCTCTATCTTTCTGTCTAGCTTTCTGTCTGTCCTTCTCTATCTTTCTTTCTCTTTTTCTCTTTTTTCTCCCCCTTTTTCTCGCTTTTTCTCACTCTTTCTCTCTGTCTTTCTCGTCTTTCAATCCTTTTTTCCCTAAACTTTTCTCCTTGTCTCTCTCTATATTTATCTCTTTCTCTCTCTCTCTCTCTCTCTCTCTTCATCTTTCACGTCTTCTTTCTTTTTATCTTCTCTTTCTGTCTTTCCGTGTGTGTATTCATCTTTCTTTCTTCTGTTTTGGCTTTTTTCCTTCATTTTCTTTCGTTCATTTTTTTCCTTCTTCCTAATACATTTCGTTTTTTTTTATATTCTTTCTCAATTGCTTTTCTTACTTTTTCATTTCCTTTTTCTCTTTCACGCAACCATTTCTTTATTTTCTCTTTCCATTCTCTCTTTTCTTTCCGTCTACACATTTAGTACTTTTTTCTCTTTTTCCTTTCTTTTCTTTTTTTTATTACTAACATCTCTTGTTTGTTTCTTTTCTTCTACTCTCTTTCTTTTTTCTTTTCTTTTTTTTTGTGTGTGTGTGTTTTAGCGCTTCTTTCATTTCGTCCAAATACTGATATCTTTTTTCGAATGTCTTCTTTTCTTGCTTTCTTTCATTTTATCATTTTTCTTGTTTTGTTTCCTTTATATTTACCATGTTTTTCCCATCCGTTTTTTTCTCACGGAAAAAAAAATGTCTGGATACTTTTAAAGGGCTTCTTAGTTGGGCAGAGAACTTTTAGTAATTCACAAGTCAAAGCAACTAAGAGATATTTACTTGACTCCCACTAAGTCAGGATGTTACACAAGGTCGGTTTAACGTGGGAGACCCGAGCGTTTCCACTCGGGCCACTGGTCCAAAACTGGTCATAGCATGTCCAAGCTGGTCAGAGCTTAGTCAAAGCTGGTCTTGGCTTGTGCTAGCTGGTCCAGGCCTGAGCTGGTCCAAGCTAGACGTAGCCGTAATCGAATCTCAGCCAAAAGGCCGAGAAAAAGCACCTAAGAAGTGTGATAGGTAAATTTTCGCCATTTTATATGTTTAATTAAGCGCATGCGCGTTGTTTTTTTTTTATTTTGTCGACTGCGCAGTATAATAAGATCACCGTTTGTGAGAAAAATGATGTAATTCACTCCGCCAGATATTTGGAAATCAAATTCTCTACTGCTTGGCATTCGCGCCGGAATCTTCAGTACGAATATTTAACAGTGTTAGGGTGTCAATCTGAAACAGTGCAGAATATTCGGAAAGAGTTGGATGAGTATAATGATGATTACGAAGGAACGGTAACTAGGAAAATTCACTTTGATTCTTCTGATTACAAAAGAACTCCCTAATTTGTTGCTGAAGGCCACAGACTCAACACAGAGGCCTACATCAAGTGTTTGAGGAGGTAGTGCTGCCCTAGGGGAATGGAGTGGCTGCTGAAAGACTATGTCTAGCAACACAAACAGGAAAACCCAGTCATGGCTGTCAGACATTTTTTGCAGGCACATCACACCTTAAACCTAACTCCCCAAATTACTACCCTCTTGATTGTTATGTACGGGGTACAGTTGAGCGAGAGACCATCGAAACTCTTTGCAAAACCAAAGATTGACTGAAGACGAGGATTATGATAGTATCCACAAACTTAAACAAAGAGATCGTCCAAAAAAGATGCAGGTGATTTCGAAATCCTATGGGTGAAGCCTATGATGATTTTATTGAATAAATTTACTTTTTACTATTTCAAGATATTTTTGTGTAATTTTTGTAAATGTATCTGTTAAAATGAAACATCTGTGTTATTTTTATTTTTGCGTCATTTAGACAAGTTATCAATCGTACCATGTATAAGACAATAACAAGGTAAATCAATTATAAGATACATATATTTTTTTGGCCACAATTCTAACGATATAAGATATGAAGATGATAGAGGGTTGATAGCAGATACAGTGTGGAAACTATAAGAACACGTACAGCAGACAGTGAAGGAAAGCGAGAAAACAAAATGTCTGCTTTTCCGTAAAAGAAACAGACGATTATGCAAATTAAATATTGACAAGGAAATACAATTTAAATATCCGTGACGTCAGTAAGCAGAGGGCGAAAGATGTAAGATCTAAATTTGAAAACGCATTTGTATATCGAAAGATGCCTTCCAAAAGATAAGAACATATTAAACAACAGGAAAATTTAATGAAAAAAGACAAGAGTACTGAACTAAACGGTGATCCAGTAACATAGACCGATTTCCAATGTGAATTATGGTTAAGTGTGTAATGATTTTTTTCTTTCAGATTTAACAACTTAAGTCTTTGGTAATTTCAACCATAGAAAGATTAACAATCAAATAACGTGTTC